GCCGGCTGCCTGCAATTTGGCAGTTTGGATCTCACCAGGCCAGTGGTGGGTTTCAAAAATTTTTAGACCCTCTTCTGTAGGTATAGACTGCTTTGTGGGAGTGGCTTGCCGGCCATGTGACTGGGTGGGCGTGGCCAACTTGTAAAATGTGGTGAAACTCACTTAACAATGCTCTTGCTTAGCAACCAAAATGTTGGCTTAGGAACTCTGGCATCAAAGCATGCAAGTCTTAAAGCTGTCAAGTTACAAGACCCTTGCACGCCTAACCCTTTAGGAAAAAAAACCCCAGGGGTGTTCAAACTTAAAAGCTTTAAGACTTGTGGACTTCAACTCCTAAAATTCCTCCTCTCGCTCTTCATCTTGAAGATGTGCAGACGGGCGGGGGGAGGGAGCTGGAACTGGTTCTAAACAGCACTGTAGATTTGTGAAACCTCTTCTATAGAAGAGGTTAGAACTGGCAGGAGCCCACCGCTGGCCTGTATCCTTCTCACATCTCAGCCAAGTATGGATGCTTCCTTATACTTAGTTCTCTTCCCTTAAATGCCATTTCTCTTAAACCTCTGCTCATGGGAGAATTTTACTCTCACATCTGAGAGTATAACAGGAAGAGGAGTTAATTACTATACTTATGTAAAATAGGGAACTTTCTCTTTTTACATCTGTGCCCCAGATGTTTGTAATATATGGGATAATCCCACACTATGCAATGAACACTAAAATACAGAAATCATGTTCTTGTCTTCCTCTTTCTTAGAATCACACAAGAAAGAAAAGTTGGCAGAAACGGGTAAGTATGCACCTGTATTCAATCTTTGCATCCCTGAAACACATGAATATGAATAACCTAGGTTCCAGATTTTATCATAATTTAAATGCATCATCTTTTTTTTATTTTAGCCAAGCTGCCAAAGAAGGATATTCATGTAAAAGAATCTGGTAAGACCTGGGTGAAAACATATGCATGAAATTACATGTTTCACTTTGAACATTTACTGAAAATTAAGACAGATCTGTGGAAATGAATTTTCCATACTTATTAAGTGACTTAAGAAAAGTGACTAAGTAGTGGAATAATATCAAAGATGATTAATATACTGCATTCTTCCCACTATGGATTATCTAGTTAGAAAAGCTCGTTCGATCTCCATTTTAATTGTGAATTGAGACGTCTCACTTTCTATAAGTGATCTTTCTCTATCATTTTATTCTTTATAAAACATGGACTTACTTTACTATAAAACACCCTAGTAAAAAAATAATGTTTTGGTCTCTGATTTTCTAGAAACAATTTAACTATGTTCTTATTCTGTCCCCTTTTGCTTTTATGAATCATATGGATGTAATATGCTGTTCATATATTATTCTAATATTGGTTTAAACCAATATTTAAAGGCATTTATTTTAGACAAGCTGCCAAAGAAGGATCTGTATGTTAAAAAATTCAGTAAGATATGAATAAGATCAAATGCAGAAATTACTTTGAGTATAGCATTAACACAAGATTGTGGGAATGACTCAGTGGTGGGTTCTGGATCCCATTGCAACTGTTACAGTGCAACGGGGCCTGGCGTCCACCACATGAACACACGCAGTGTGTGCACAAATACACGCAGTACGTGAATGCATCCTTACCTCTTCAGACGCCTCTGCGAGCCTCCACGATGCTCCAACTGCTCAGTGGAGTGTCGCGCAGGCACCGTGCGCTCCATGCACATGTGCGGAAATGCCAAAGAGCTCAAATACAGGTAAGGAGCTCGGGTGGGTGGGTGGGCCCTCCAGAGCACTGTACCGGAACGGTATCCGGTGCTCCGGGCAGGCACCGGTATGCCCGTACCGGGGCATACCACCTGCAACCCACCACTAGAATGAATGTACAATAAGAAAAAAAATAACTAAGAATAGAAATAAAATAACTCCTTTCCATTCTCCTGTTCCTCTTCCCTCTGCTGCCATTTCCTTTAATTAGCAGAGGAGAAGGAACAAATGAGTGTCTTTGTGCCAGCGGGTGGAACCTTTTCCTCCCAACTCCCAAATGTTGACATCATTGTCTGGTTTTCCTCTTACTTTCTAGAACCCCACAAGAAAGAAAAGCCAAGAGAAATGGGTAAGTATTCCTTTATTGTGTCTTCTCTGAAACACATGGGCATTAAATGGATATTGATTATCTGTGTTCAATCTATGTCATAGTGACTATGACATAGTCAAAATGTTTTTGTTTTTTTTTAGCCAAAGTGTCAATGGAAGACGTACATGTAAATAAAACTGGTAAGTGCTATGTAAGACTATGTCTAGAAAATCCCTTTTTCCACTCTGGACAATTACTATGTAAACACATGCTGTGGAAATGAATGTGCCATAAAACTAGTGAATTATGCTGAATTACAGTTGCAAAATTGGATGATAGACTACATTCTGCCCCCCTTGGGTTTTCTAGTCAAAAGACCCCACTCAGTCTATGCTTCATTTTAACTGTCAAATTAAAATACTCTCTTAACTTCAAGGTATCTCAGTCTATGATATAATTCTATGTAGAGTGTCACCCACAGCTTGCTAATAAACAACCAAATGTAGAAGTAATTTTCTGGTCTTCTTACTTTCCAGAAGCAAGTAAGAAAGGGAAACAAATAGAAACAGGTAAGCATGCCCCTATTTTCCTTACTTGAAAAATTTGTTCCAAAAACTCATTTTCCATATTCAACATTTGGAATAATCAATATATTTATACCTTTTCATTTTAGCCAAGCTGCCAAAGAAGGCTGTGCATGCAGACCAAACAGGTAAGATCTCAGAGGATAAAACCTGTGAAATTCAAACCCCCCCCCCCCATTTTGAAAAGTACAAAAGGGTCTTGTCAACTCTGCTTTCTTTTAATTATGGAATTAAGTCAGATCACTAACTTAAAGTGATCTCACTCTATGATTTTAACATGTTTAATGTATGGAATTAGTATGTCAGGGTAATGATGATTTAATAGCTGACCAGCTGCTGTAAGGCTGTAAACTGACATGATGAGGCAATGAGAATGAGTCAGCAGAGTTATCACTTTAAGAGGCTGTCTGTATAAGAGAGACCCTGTGAGGGCATCTCTCTCTC